TATCATATTAACATGATATGCTTAATACATACATCATCATTTTGACTTCGTGTATCATGTTTTGATTGACTAGTACTATAGCACTATATCAAATTAATCAGATCGAGTGAATCAACTTACTATATCAGAGTCCAATCAATACTAAGACACTCCGTCGATGAGAGGTTTCATCGGCCTACTCGAGTTGTGCGGAAGATAGAGATGAATAAAAATGAGGGGTAGTGCGTAAGTCTGAAAGTTGGTCGGTAGAGAAGACGATGAAGTGGGCAAATAAGCACCGGTGTTCGGGGAGATGAAGGTGGAGAGGTCAGTGGTTCGTTTGGGATCGGTCATTATTGAGAATGGGCACAGTTGAAGTGTTGGTGGCGAGTCTTCCTCTGAAGCCATTTGTCCCAACCTCACTTTATGCTCTTTCTCTCTCTCTCTCTCTCTCTCTCTCTCGTTCGAATACAGTGATAGTGCAGGATGTGACTTCCGTTCACTACGTTGCCTTTTTGAATACGAAGACTTATGCATAGGGAGAATGCTTTTCTTTTCTTTTTTAGGGGTTTGTCCATTACAATGGAGGAAGTTTTTTCTTACGTGATATTGTTATGAATAAAAATAATAATAAATTATTAATATTAAGTTGTTAGAATCAATTCATGCTAATATATATATATATATATATATATATATATATATATATATATATATATATATATATATATATTACAAAATGATAGGTGATAAAAGCCGGATTCAAATCTAAAATTTTACGAAAAGCATCAAAGTTTGCTAATTAGCAGCACTTTCAAAAAATTCTAATGGTCGGTTGGTTAAAAATATAGTGTTAGAGGTGTTAATTTGATACTTAAAGATGAACTTGTAGTGCATCTTGATGACACCTTGACTACTTTCATTAATCGATCTCGAATAAAACCTTTTATCTTTTTTGAGTGGCTTTATTTGTTCTTCATGGTGGTCTATTCACGGTCTCGTTTTATTGCCATGATGACTAAGTGCTCCATAGCACTTCGAGCATACAAATCACCCTTTCTTATTTTTGCTATTATTAAGTGTGTTTCGCTATATTGGATAATGCAATGCTTAATGTAGATGCAAAGTATCAGTGATTCACAATGACTTTAAAGTGGTTACTTCCTTTTCTGAATTAAGTTGTTTTTTTATGGAAAGAATAATTACTATATATATATATATATATATATATATATACTATTTAACTACACTTCATCACATTCAATTTCCTGTTGCTTTCCACCTGTTCCAAACAAGCAAACAATTCCTTCTGTAGAGAGAAAGAGAGTGACAAACAAACAAACACCTTCCTTCGAATCTTATCCTAACATTAAAGAGAGAGAGAGAGAGAGAGATTGCCTTGAAGCTTATCCTAATATTGCCATTGCTAATGATCTTTGCTTGGTGCTAACTTTACTAGCAGATCAGCCACAAAGAGACAACATTGATCAAGCCTGCAGAATCAAACAAGCACAAGGAGAGCAGAAATGACCAACTTCCTTGTACATTACGTTTTATGGTTCACCAAACACAAGCTTCTCATCAGTATCATGTTCCCTTCTGAGACGGGAATGATGCCATTGAGAACTGAGATTTTTTGGCTTTCCTCACGCTTGCTTTATTCACAGTTTCCCATGCTACATGCCATCGTAGTAGAATACATATTACTGACGAAACTGCACTGATGGCTTGCAGGGAAGGCAGGAGGAGGAGGCGTGGGGAACATCTGAATCTTTAGAGGACATCTTACTTGTGGGGGTTCATGTGGATGAAAAGTGATCGAGTAAAGAAGAAGCAACGGAGAACATGTCTTCAGATCATGCAACACATGATCG